TTATGAAAGAAGGTAAGAATTCTGTTATTGAGAGTGATATCAGTAAGATGGCCTTGATAGTCTGCCGTGTTATTGATGCTGTATTGTATTACAATTTTGTCTACTTCTTTGAAGAGATGAGTTTTTCCTTGTTTTTTCTTTTCAGTTTTTATCCAGTTGATTGTAGTTTTATGATGTTCTGTTAAGACTCTGAGGTTGCTGATGAGTCTTAATTCTTTAACTTTTTTGATGTTGCCTGCCATATATGTATCATATTCCTTTATGAAAGCATTGGAATCTGTTTAATAGTGATAGAATTTCTAGGTCTACCAATTGCGATTGCTATTGTTGCTGCTAGGATTTCAGCTCGGAAGGCTGACACCTGACCAGAGAGTTGCATTCCGAAGTTGGTGATACTTATGTTGTCTTGGGTTACATTTATTCCTATTCCACATGTATTATGATTTCTGGATTGGTTAAAGACTCCATCTATGTATATGTGTGGGTTATCAAGTTCTTTGGTTAGCTTGTATACTTTTTTGAGTTTTTGTTTAGTTCTAGAAGTGATACTGATAGTATGTAGGAAGTCTGTGATAGCATATAGTGTATTGTCTATGTTGATGTGTTCGAGGACTTGATTTGATTCAGTTATGAAGTGTGCAATGCTGTTGCGGGAGATTTGTAGTCTTGTTCATAAGTAGTTGTCTAATGAACTACTTGATTTGGTTGTGTTGGTGATCGGAACTCTATAGAATTCTTGTATAGGTATTTCAATGCAACAGGTTTGATCTCTGTTGTCTGTACTATTGGCTTTGTCACAGCTGAGACATGCGGTGACTGGTGATGCATTAGTCATATTGAAGTGTCTGATCTTGATTATGTTTTGTTTATTACTAATATGCTTGCCCAAGACTATCTGATGTTTGAGCTGTGTGATGTACCAGAACCATTGTACTTTACCTTGATTTACAGCTTCAATCTGGATCAATGGGTTGAGGATGAGTGCAGAGGTATCAGTACTGATGAAGAAATTTACTTGTTGTAAGAGGTATGCAAACCAGGTTGGTTCTTTTTTTTTAATGATTTTATCGTGGAGTGCTCTGACCTGTTGCCATTTCGGAGGCTTTGACATGTATGCGTTCAGCAATTGTCAATCCAAAAAAGTCTGTGAGTGTATAGTGCCATTTAGTTGTTATGGTACCACTCTTGTTCTACAAAGTTCTTGATGAAGTAGAGGTTCTGATTGTTGGGATTGTGTGCTGAGATGTTTCAATATTGATATTATTTTTTTGAAGGTTCTGTAGGCAGTCTTGCAGGAAGTTATTCTTGGGTTTGAAAATTTGGGGGCAAGTGTTGAGTATGTTGTTTTTCTGCCATGCTGACCATTGTAATTCTTGTATACAGTTGTGAAGAATGTAGCCAGTGAAGTTTGGGTTGATGAAGAATTGTTGTAGATTGCTAGCATGCTTCTGAAGTTGGCAGGTTTGTGTTTCCATGATGCCATACAGTTTGTCAAAATAGATAACTGAGTTTGGAGTTGAAGTGGCCAAGTTAGCTCTGGGTTTAAAGCTTCTTCTAATCTTTCTGTCAATTTTTCACACTCGTTTGAGGTCTTGAAGCAAATATTTGATTGTAGGGAAGATAACGTGATTGATTATATAGCTGTGCATTTTGTCTGTAATTTATTTTATGGCCAGTATATTGCATAGTGTTGTTGTCTTTGATATGATTAAGTTGCATTGATGTTTCTTTCCTACTTTGGCTTCATGTCAGATACCTAGTACTCGGATAGCTACTGTAGGACCAACTGGTGTAATATTGAAGCCATTTATCTTTATACTTTCTTTTGATGCATTGAGAATCAAGAGCTCAGATTTTTGGGGGTTGACTGTGATATCATTAAAATTATAAAATGAGATGCTGATATTGATAATGTTCAGAAGGTTTTCCTTGTCTTGCATGATGAAAGCAGTGTTATTTATATATGCTGTAATTGAAATATTGATGTTAGGAAGGGGAGAGCTACTAGTTGGGGTTTGGGACATTGCAGCTGGTAGTCTTTCATGTTGTTTATAACTGAAATTAAGGGTTCATAGTAAATGCGCCATAAAAGAGGAGAGATCGTGTCTCCTTGATCGATACCTTCTTCCACCTGGTATGGGGTTGTGTTGCCAAAAAAGATGATGACAGTATTTTGTCTGTTGTGAAAGCAGTTGCCGATTAAGTTGATAATTTGTGATGGAATTTTGATTCAGTGCATTGTAGTTTCTAATCTCTTTATATTGACTGTATCATATGCTTTACTCATATTCTGGAAAAGCATGTAGCATGGTTTTTGTGTAGCTCTGGCATTCTCAAGTATTTGATTGATTATAGTGATTGGTTCTCTGATATTGTTACCTGGTAGTACTGCCCAATTGTGTAAAGAAAAGTATTTGGTAATTCATTAGGGTTTTGGACAGACAATTGGTGATGATTTTGGTAAAGATTTTTTAAAGATTCTAGAAGGGTAATTAGTCATGTGATGTTGATATTGTGTTGCCAATCTTTGGGTTTAGGTATCGGGTATATTGTTCCCAACTTCCATTCCTTGGGGACTGTTTCTTTGATTATTAAGATATTAAAAAAGGAAACTATCAAATATAGGAACTCTTTACTTATGTGTTTATATGCTATGTATAGGATTTGCGAGGGTTCTGGGGCTGATTTGTTGTTGGTGTGGGTTAAAGTCTCTAGTAATTCTGAAAGTAGTATGGGTGTCCTAATTTAATTGTACCAAGTTGGGTTGATGTTCTTGAGTTCGTACTCCTGTTGCCATATAGTACCTCTGTATTTATGGATATTTCTTCATTTTGTCCATTGTTTGAAATGTGATCGGACTTTCTTTTTGATTTCAGTAGAATTGATAATGAGGTTTCTTTCAGGAGAGGTGTTGTTAATGAGTTTGCTTATAATGATGCTTCTTCTAAGTTGGCCTGATATGGAGCGGATCATGTGCTTCTTATCTGACTTGAACCAATTGTTCCTTAAATCTTTCCATTTTTTGATATCTAATGTGGTTTTGTCTTTAATAGCTTTTTTCTAAGCAAGTTTTTCAATTTTGATTAATGTATCAATTTTAGTGATAAGCTCTTTTTGTTGCCATCTGGGTGCCAGGTAGGTAATGGGATTGTTTGTATTATTGCTAGATGAAGTATGCTACATCTACCTGGATCATGCTTGTTTTATTTTTTTAAGAAAAGGGATAGTTGTCTTCTGTATTCGTTGAGTTGTAGGAGAAGGATTGGTCCGATGGTACTAGTTCATTTTTTGCAGTTCTTTTGCTTCTCTTTGTATTTCTGTATGTGCTTGTTTACTGCCTTGAGGATTGTGTCCCAAAGGACATTCCATATTTGATCTATATCGGATTCTTCTTGATTTATTAGTTCTGTCATGTTGTTCTTATAACTGTCTAATTTCTCAGCAAAGGCCTTCCATTGCTCCGGTGAAGTGACCTGCCATGCAAACCGAGTATTATTGTGGGTGACGGAGGTGTTTAGTGGATTGCTCTAATTCCCAGATTTTCATGTATGTGATTTGAATTCAGTGATCTGTAGTAATACTGGTTTGTCAGTTATGTAGGAATTGATTGAGCACCAAGTGGGTCTGGAGCTGTAACAAATCATATCAATGTGACTAGCGCATAGATGTGTGTTGTATGTTTTTGACCAGGTGTATTCTTTATTATATGGATTGTAGTATCTGAAGGTATCAAAGAGTCCCAATTCTTCGAGTTGTTAAAAGAAAGGGTTCGTGATATTTTTGGCTATCTTTCTGTTATTATAAAACTTGTTCATTTTAAGAATAGAGGAAGAGTTAAAATTGCCACCCAGGATAAAGTGCCAGTTTTCATGGTTGTGTTGTTTAATCCATGAGAGGATTTGAGCTTGAACTTTGTCTCTTTCCCTTCCTTGTTTAGTAGGGGAGTATGTTCCTATGATTCTACAATATATTTTATTTGGAAGAGCGAGGTCAATACATATGAGTCTTCCCAGTTTCTTTTAGATATTGACCCCCTGTCTGCTATGTTATGTTTAATTGCGATGCCAATACCTGTACCGTGGTCATAATTGCTGTGCCACTAGGTAGCATAGCCTTCTGCCTTCCAGTATTTAGTATCACTGTTTTTTCCATTGGTTTCTGTTGAGATAATTATATCCCATGCATTTGTGTGCACAGTTTCTATCCAAGAAGCTCTCTTTAACTGATCATTAAGACCTTGGCAGTTGCAAGTGATGATTGTCCAGAAAGATCTTTGTTGTTTGTTAGTCATGCTATTATTGTATGGGGGTTGAGGATGCTTGTTATTAGTATTATTTTTATGTTCACTGAGTGTGTTGGTATTGCTGTCCACTGTTGTGGTAGTATTGCTATCCACTGTTGTGATGATATTGCTGTCCACTGTTGTGGTGGTATTACTATCTACTGTTGTGATGGTAGTAGTGGGTATGTAGGTGCTGTGCTGTTTTGAAGGAGATGAGATATTTTGTACGAATGTTTTGATTTCTGCGAGTGAGAGTGGATTGTGTATTGTAGTTTCTGTGAGTGAAGTGTATGGAAAATTTATTGCTATATTTTCGTTGATTTGTTGAAGTGAAGAAATATGACTATTGTTGCTGCCTATATTATTGTGATGTTTTGGGTGTTGTTTGTTGGTTCCTGGGAATGAGTTTGGAAACAATATTTACTAGTGCGCTCATTGTTTTGTCAATGTTTCCTATTGATGTGTGAATTTGTTGTTGTTGTAGTTGGATGTTTGCTTATGGTGAGGAGGATCGAATGTACCTTATGGTTTAGTTGCCTTCAGTTGTTATGGGTATATCTTCTACTATGCTATTGTTGTCAAAGCTTTCATATCAGTTTCCAGATTGACGATTCTTTCATCGAGCTCGGTTATGGTTTCTTTCAGGTTTATAATTTCTTCTCTCAATTCAATAATGGCTGTCCAAAACCCTGTAAGAATGTTTTTGTTGTTGTGTTCCTCTTGTGTCAAGCTATTAATTTGGTTTTTGACTGCGGCTGCATATGATCCAGGTGTAGTAGAGGTTTTCTTCAGATTGGAATTGGTGAACTTGCAGATTTTTGCTGAGTTGGCAGGTCTGAAGCGGTTATATAGTTTCTCAAATTTTCTTGCCTGTTCAGTATTGTAGTCTTTCTATTGTTCCCTTCATTCCTTGGTAGTATATTGTGCAACTAAATGGTCTGGGCTATCACAAATAGTACAGAGTTTAATTTGGATGGATTTGCGTGAGAGTATTATTTCGCCAAGGCTAAACTGTTTGTCTATCGCCTGTTGTAGAAGTTGCTCATTCTCAAAACTGAGTATGACATATTTCCTAGATTTGTATGATATTAATCATGGAATGTAACAGGACTTTGCTTAGAGTTTTTGGCAGATTTGTTTGAGGTCGAAAGCATTAGTTCCGGGAGATAGATTGGTAAGTTACAGGAAGTGTCTGCCTCGATCTTTTATTTTGTCTAGGTCCCATTCTGTATCAAAGATTCTAACTGAGTTGGCTCTGAGTAGGGTGCTTCATTGGTTAAGTAGGTTCAGTTTATCTTCTTTGTTTGCATATGTGATGGTGGCTGATTGCCACATTTGTTGCATTGTCATCTTGATATTAGTAATCTGTCCAAATTTAGAAAAGGTTTATTGGACATCTATGAACTTTGTGTTCAAGGGGATGTCCCATACTCTGATACTATTTTCCTTATTTGTGCTGACTATGGATTTCTGCATGTGCTCCAAATGGAGGTTGTCAGTTTCAGGAATAATTAGGTTATTTGCGTCTGCTGCTTGTTGATCACTGAAAATGGTAATGATATGGTCTTTTTTATTAATTTTCTTATATAGAATGGAGAGGAGACCTTCGAGGGAGTTTAGGGCTCTGATCAGGAAGATGATTTTGTTTCTGATTGTGTTTCTGGGTAGTGCATCAGCTCTGATATTGAGTTTGATCTATTCTCTCCCGTATATGATTGCTGGATCAAAAGGGGAATATGGTCAGGATCTATTACCACTGATTGCACATTTGCTTTTGTTATGGGATTTTTGCAATTCTTGCCAGTCTTATTCTTGAGTCGAGTTCACCTCACTAGAATCCATATTGATATTAGAGTTGTCGATTCTTTTGCTGCTGGTTGTGTTGTTCAATTCTCTTTGCCTATGGGTTGGGAGTTCAGGAGGTTGGGTTTCGTAACTTGTTGTAGGGAAGGCCAAAATGGATCCTGGAATTTCTCTTTCTACCTGCTCACTCCATAAACCAGAGGAGTAGTTGTTTTGCACATCTGCAGGATTAGTTTCTCTTGCTGGGCTGTTGTTGTTATAACTGTTGCTGAGATTGTTAGGTTTTGTGGTTGTGGGGATAGAGGGAGTTTTTCTTGATTCTCTTGTAACAGGGTTTGGTTTCTTGTCTTGCGAAAGTAATTTTCTGTTCGAGATGGGGGTGGCCTTGTCCTTAGTGATATGTCTATATTGTAGTTTGGCCTTAATTATTATATTGTGAGCATTTGAGTCTTTCTATGTTTTTGACACTTTTCCATTGTACTATGGGTTTGCTGCGCCACAGGTGTATAGAAAAGAGGTGATCTTTAGTCTTTTGTATTTACTTTTCCATAGTGGGTAATTTTCCAGTGGTTAAATATTTTTTGTAGGTGTTCATTCCTGAAAATAGAGTTTCATATATTCTTTGATTGTTGTTGGATCTGTAATGATTCAATCTTTTCTCCTTACAAGATGATTTTGTTTAGATCTATAATTTTTTGTAGTTTTTTTATAATACTATTAATCATAGCCTTTTTGTTGGTTTTCAGAAAAACTTGTCATTTGATTATTCTTTGTTTAATAGTTTTGGTTTGTCTATAGTTAGTAATATGTTTAGCTATGTGTTTGTATACTTGTATGTTTTTTTGTAGGATTGAGATCTATTCTTGAATATATGTTTACAGTTTTTCTGTCCTTGTGGTAAGCGATTATATATATCAGGAAATCTAATCTTTATTTTTTTGGGTATCAACATTTCTTCAATTGAATTGATTATTTCTTTGTTTTTGGTTAGTTTTTCAAGTAGTTTAGAAAGTTTTGTAGGAGATAATAGGTGAAGGGGGTCTTGCCTGTTCTGGATAGATCCTTTTTCTCTGGTGGTTCTTGATTTTGCAGATATTTTTTTAGCAACTCTTAGCATGTTATTTCTGAAGATATCTCCCTTTTTATCTATTGTAGTGTTTAGCTAGACAGTTTTTGAAGTTAGCTCTTCCATTATGATTATGAAGGCTGTTTATTGTTTAGTACTAATGTGTTGCCAGTAAAATTTGTGATTGTACTTGTGCACTGTGACTTTTTTCCCTGAGCTTGAGTCTAGGTTCCACATTTCTAATTTTATGGTCATGCTTTGATAATCACTTTTGATTAAGGGTTGTAGTATGTCTCATATATATATATTTCTTGATTGCCATTTATTTGAAGAGCTAAGCCATATTTGATCTATTTTACTTTTACTGTCTTGCCCCTTCCATATAAACTCTTTCTTGATAGAGTTGTGTGTATAGTAGCTATCTTCGAAACCTCTATTGATCAGTAGCTCTATATGGAGTCCAGTTGATTTGCTGATACGTGAGGTTTTGTGATTGTTGTATTTGGCTAACATTGGATTGGGTTCCATTCATATCTCTGATGACTATAATATCCAGTCCTTGTTGCTAGCCTCCTTTATCTATTGTTGCAAAGTTCTTGTTATAGATATATATTCTTTGATTGTTGCTACCACAGAAAAGTATACTTCTATGATTCATATTTTTTATTTGTTTGAAAAAGCCATGTCTACTGCTATCAACCTTCTATTCATTTTCTTATGTTTGAAGATTCTTTTTGCAATTTCCTTGTGAATCATTATATTGAGACCTTGTTCCAATATTTGAGATTCGTGATGGGTCCAGATTATATGGTAGTTGTGACATTTTCAATGTCTCAATGCCTGGCTTATTCCATTTACTTCCTTTATTACTACAATATCCCAGCCTTGACTGTTGATGAGATTGAACCATATTTGTCTTTTGAAGTTATCTGTGATTTCTCTAATGTTTTTTGTTGTAATTTTCTATAGGTTTTGAATGTGTTGTTCAATGTGATACTGTGTATCACCTTCCATTCATGTTGAAATTGTATCTGATTAGTCTGTTGTATAGTTGAAGTTCATGTTATTTGAATTCGTGATTGGAGTATTGTTAATTAAGAAGTGATTGTCATTGTCTTTTATTATTGTGCTCATGGTTTATATTATTGATTCGACATATGTGTGTATTTCTTGATTTTTGTTCTGGTCTATTAAATTATTTTCTTCTAGTTCACTGATACTATTTGAATTATCTATTATTGTTTATATATTGGGAATTGTTTGTTGTTTGGAGCAAGGGAATTGATTGCAAAGAGAATGATGCTTATATTTTAATTCATCTTGTTAATTGAATTATGGAGTTCTTGTTGTCTTTATTGAATGTTAGGTATTAAGCTAGTGAGGGAGACTGAGCCTGTCACATTGGGATTATTTGTTTCATTGCTTGTTGTGTATCTTCTTCCATTGTGTTATTGCTATATTTCTTATATGATTCAAGCTATGTAATTCTCTCATTCAGTTCTTCAATTGATAATTTAATTTTTTTAATGTCTTCTTTTATTTATTGTAGCATGTTGAGGATTTTGTCTAGTGGATCTCATTCTCAGTTATTTTTTTGACTATTTTTTATTTTATAATTACAGTAGTTGCTGCTGCTACTGCATAGGAACCTGGCTTTGGTTTTTGTATTTGTGTTTCTTTGCTTATTATATTTTTGATATATTGAGTGCCAGCAAGTTTAAACTTTTGATAGAGTTTACCAAATTTTGATACCTGGTCTTTGTTGTATGAAGACTATTGTTCTCTTTTTTATTTAATAGGACATTGTGCCAGAAAGTAATTGCTTTGGTCACAGATAAAGCAGAGTTTAGTTTTCATTGGCTTTACTGTAATAGTGATTTTTCTCAAGATAAATTCTTGTCCTAAACCTTCTTTGAGTTTGTTTTCAGATTGAAAGAATATAATTGCAAAGTGTTTCCTGGTATATTTGATTCTATAAGAAATATAATATAACTTTGCTTAAAGTTATTGATATATATTATTTAGATCAAAGGCATTGATATTTGGTGAGATATCAGTAAGTTTTGTTGCATATTAAAATCTTTCTGTCATTTGTTGCTTATTTCATTGTGCATCCATTATTCTGATTGCTTCTCTCTTAATAAGAATGCTGCATTGTTAGATAAGTTGTTCCTTTACTTCCTTATCTTGAAAGGTGATTGTCATTGTTTGCTACATTTGACTATTGTATATTGATATATTAGTAATTTGTCTATATCTAGCAAAGATTTGTTGTACTTCTATGAATTTTGTGATCAGGAAAATATCCTATACCCTGATACTGTTTTCCTTTTTTGACTCAGTTATTGTGATTTTCATGTGTGTTAATCTTTTTTAATCTGTGTTTGATAAGATTAGATTATACATATGACTTCTCTGCAACCTATTTCTCCCCAAATAAGGCAGTGATATAGTCAATGTTCTCTTTTTTTTCCTTGTGAATATTGAAGAAACTTTCTGAACTATCTAGAACCTTGATTAAGTATGTACTCTTTTGACCAGTGGTGGTGCCAGGGATGTCACTTGCCATGATTTCTACTTTGAATCTTTTCTTGCTATATCTTGCTGTCTTGTCAAAAGGTGATCTTGATCTTAGACAATTCTTTCTTTGGTTACCTTGGACTTGCCATGTTTCTTTAATATTTTTCTTGTTTGGATCTTAGTCTGGTTTTGTCTCTCCCTCATTATATATTTCTATGTCAGAATCATCAATTCTTGTTATCGTGTGGATGTTTTGTTAAATATCTAATGTCTTTTCTCTACGTACTTTCTTGAGATATGGTCTATTTTCAATGGTAATTGTTTCTTCTATCTAATCATTACATATATGCAAAGTTGAGCTAGTTGCATTATTTCTATTATAGTTTTGAGAGCTCTTGTGATTGGATATGGGTTGTTGGATTACTTGTTCATTTGTATGGAGGTTTTGGATGGTTTCTATTGATTTTTCAAGTTCTTACCCTTGTTTTGAGTTGTTGTCATTTCACTGTTTATGTTGGTTTCTTTTTGGAGATTTTTTGCATTACCTCTTGCCAAAAGGTTCTCATTGTAATTGGGTTTTGTACTAGTTTTGAAACTGTAAAAGGTTCTATATGAACTCATCTCTTCGATGCACTTTTTTGTTTCATAGAAAAAATTGCCTAAAAAGAAAAATTTTAAGAATTTTGGGATCTGCAGAAAAGAGTTTTTGAAATAATTATAAAGTTAAAAAGTAAATAAATATAAAATAAATAATAAACTCTTATCTTTTATTAAGTTTCTCTAATAATAAAAATTTTTATTAAATTAAAATTAAGATTTTAAAATTAATGTATCAATCAGAAAAGGTTCTTGAAGAGGTTTTTTATTTTAATTAAACAAATTTTTTATAAATAATTTTCATAATAGTAATAAAATAAATAAATTTATATATATATAAAGAAATAAGTTTATTAAATATTTTTCCTAAAATTAATTTATTTAAATTGATTAAGTTTCTTTATAATATAAAACTAAAGAATATTTTAATTAAACAAGTTTCTTTTAAGAAATAATTATTACATAAAATAAAAATTTTTTAAAAAAGTCAAAAAAAAAACTTTTTTTCAATTATATTTCAGGAATTTATTGTTTTTTTAAATAATTAATAGTAATACAATAAATTATAATTGATAATACTAATAATTCAAAATCAAGTACAATAATAATAGAAAAATATAATATTATTTTTTAATTTAATTTAACATATTTAGTTAAAACTTAATTCTGTTTAATCAAAACTAATTTAGTAAACTTTTATATTTTTTATATAATGTAATTTTTCAATTAATAATATATAAATATAAATCAGTACTGTGTAAAAGTTTATAACTTGTTAAATATTTACTTAATATTTTAATAAAAATACATTATAATAATATAATTATAAATTAAAAAAAAAAAATACTAAAATCTCTTTCCACTGATCCTCCTTTTTCTTAAAAATTTCTTTTTTTGGTAATTTTTTGGATAAAGCAAACCTGGTCAAACACATAAGAAAAAACAATATATCTTTCAAATCAAGCTACCAAGCTTTTGCAACACATATACAACAAGCCTTTCAAAAAACATCAAGGAAAGAGGTATACATTGTTTTAC